AGGACTGAGCGCCAGCATTCGATTCTCAAGTCCATTTTAAGGAAACTTTGCTCCCTTAAACCTAAGGAGTGGCATCGTTACCTACCCTGTGCTTTGTTTGCCATGAGGGAAGTTCCCAGTGACTCTTTGGGGTTTTCACCTTCTGAACTTCTCTATGGTAGACAGGCCAGAGGTCCACTGTCCATCCTTCATGACTTATGGACTAATGAGGAGGTAAATGCTGAGGTTCAGTCTTCTTACCAGTTTCTCCTTGACCTTAGATCCAAACTTGAGGAGACCTCTGACATAGTTTCGAAAAACTTAAGTTTGTCTATGGACCAGTACAAAACCTATTTTGACTCCAAAAGTCAGAGGAGAACTTTTAATGTAGGGGATGAAGTTCTTGTACTTTTGCTGATTAAGTCAAATAAATTATTAGTAACATGGAAAGGTCCATATAAAGTATTAAAAATTTGTGGGAAAGTTGACTACCTCATAGAAGTCAAGGGGAAACCTAAGCTTTATCATATCAACATCCTTAAGAAATATTACCGAAGAAATTCGGTTAACTGCCTTAATAACTTTGACTTAGTTTTTCCACACGAACTTGATAAAACAACTGAAGAATGTAAAGTGTGTGTAACTGACACCTCTAAAATAGACTATGATGAAGAACTACATGACTTGGTGACTCTTGACCACTCGGGCGCTACCAACATTAATATTAATGAATCTTTGGATGACCATAAGAGACATGAACTACTTCAATGTGTGAGTAACTTTTCAGACGTCTTTACTGATATTCCAGGTGTTACCTCCACGGTAGTCCATTAGATTGACTTAGTGACGGACAATCCTATCAAACGGAAATTATACCCAGTTCCAGTTCACCTTAGGGATGCATTTGACCGAGAGGTAGACAAATTATTAAAACTAAAGATCATTGAACCTTCAGTATCTGCATATTGCTCACCAGTAGTCATGGTTAAGAAGGCGGATAATTCATATGGACTTGCTATTGACTTCAGAGGCCTTAATGCTATAACTCGGTGGGATGCTGAGCCTATGCCCTTAATAGATAGCGATCTACACAAATTTTATGACGCTTCCTTCTTTTCAGAGATTGATATTGTGCAGGCATATCATCAAGTAATGTTAAATCCTTCTTCTAAGCAGTACACCGCTTTTCCTATACACCAAGGACTGATGCAGTATAGAACTATGCCCTTCGGCTTGGTAACTGCCTGTGCTACCTACGTGAGACTGATGAGAAAGGTCTTGGGTAATATGCCAAATGTTTCAGTTTATTTTGATAACATTTACATAATGACATGTATGTGGGGCGAACATATCCAAACATTAACATCAGTTTTGCATAGGTTATGCTCACATGGCCTCGCTGCCAAGCCGAAGAAATGCTTCCTTGGGTATAACAAGATTAGATATCTTGGACTGATACTTTCTAATAACACTCTGCAGCCTCTCTCCAGTAAGATCAAAGCTTTATTAGAATTTAAATTCCCCAAAACCAAGAAGCTCATGCGAAGCTTTCTTGGTTCTGTAAATTTTTATGCACGGTTTATCCCGAACCTTACTGATCTTACAGGCATCTTATCCGACTTCCTTAAAAAGTCTGTGAAGGAACCTCTTGAACTTTCCGACGTAGCTCGGGAAAAGTTTAATGAGATTAAAAGTATCTTTTCGAAAGACCCTATACTTACGATTCAGATTAATAAAACATTTTGTTTGAGAACTGATGCCTCCAGTACTGGCTTAGTGCGGTGTTACTACAATCATGATGGTACTCCTTCCTGTATGCTTCCTAAGCCGGAAACTCCTTCCCGCAGAAACAAGATACTCCACAATAGAAAAGGAATGTTTAGCCCTTGTGTGGGGTATCTCCAAACTTAAATTTTATTTGCTGGGAAAAGAATTCATTTTAGAAACGGACCACAAATCTTTGCTATACCTAGAAACTTTTAAGGGAACCATCAGTCGCCTCTTGAGGTGGACATTGGCACTCCAGGCTTTTAAGTTCCATATTGTGTATATCAATGGTTCATCCATTTATTTCTCTGACTGGTTAAGTCGTGACAGTCAGTAGAAGATTTGTTGCCTTATGCGACTTCCACATGTTGGAACTTTTTCCTTGCCTATTCTTCTTATACTCCTTGACTATAAGTCTTGGTATGGGGGAGTGTGAGGGAAAAGTTCAATAGATAGGAGTAGCGATATAGTAACAATAGTTTCATTGCCAGCTACTAGTTAAGGTAGGGTAAGTCAAGCTCCCGCCTTTCTTCCCCCTTCCCGAAAGTGATAGTTTGACTGCCGGCTGCTTGTTAAGGTAGGGTCAGTCTAGCTCCCACTATCCCTTCCCCTCCCTCTTCCCCCCCCCCCCCCGAAAGGTGACGTGTGGGGCTCTGGTCAAACAGTAAATCACTCGACTCACAGCTCCCAACACTACTGTAAGTACATGCCTGCCTTGTATTCTAGTGAATTTATTGGTTAAAAGCTTCACTTTTGACCAATAATAAATTTAGTCCTTTCAGTCTTGCTCTAGGTTGACTGTTGTAATAATCACCACGTCTTTTGAGTATTGTACTTGCCATGGAGAGTGATTATTTAAGCAGTGGGTAACCTGTCTATCTTTTCAGCTTAGATGACAGTGAGGGTCACCTGTCAATCAACGAGAAGAACAGGAGACGGACTAACGTCCTGGAGACGTCCCACTTTGGATTTAAGTACCTGTGCACCTGTATGAAATTGCAGGATGTAACCCCACATCATTGCAGCGGTAAAGAACCTGCTTTCCTGTCATCGGGATACTAAAGACTCTATCTACTGTGAAGAACTAGCCAGTGGGTCGTAACCAACACCTGCGACCCCCCCCCCCATCATCAGCAACGGCTACGATTTCAACAACACAGTGTCACCAACACCAGACACCCCTATACCTATTAGCGTTGAATTCAGTTATCATTTATATTTTTCATTTTTCATTTTCTTTAATGTAGGATTAATATTTCATATTTAAGTGTTTTATATTTTCTATTTTCTATATAATAAAGTGTTTATGTTTGTCTGTTATTATTTCTTTTTCTATTCACTAATTTTCCTGAGGAGGAGCCAGCCTTGGTAATACTGTCTGAAGTTGTTACAGGGCTGAGTAAGCCTTCACAAGGAGACTGGTGCACGCTGAGGTACAGGAGACTATGGTGCACACTGAGGTACAGGAGACTGTGGTACACACTGAGGCACATGAGACTGTGGTGCACATTGAGGCACATGAGACTGTGGTGCACATTGAGGCACAGGAGACTGTGGTGCACATTGAGGCACAGAAGACTGTGGTGCACATTGAGGCACAGGAGACTGTGGTGCACATTGAAGCACAGGAGACTGTGGTGCACATTGAGGCACAGGAGACTGTGGTGCACATTGAGGTACACGAAACTGTGGTGCACATTGAGGCACAGGAGACTGTGGTGCACATTGAGGCACAGAAGACTGTGGTGCACATTGAGGCACAGGAGACTGTGGTGCACATTGAGGCACAGGAGACTGTGGTGCACATTGAGGCACATGAGACTGTGGTGCACATTGAGGCACAGGAGACTGTGGTGCACACTGAGGCACAGGAGACTGTGGTGCACATTGAGGCACACGAGACTGTGGTGCACACTGAGGCACAGGAGACTGTGGTGCACATTGAGGCACAGAAGACTGTGGTGCACATTGAGGCACGGAACTGTGGTGCACATTGAGCACAGGAGACTGTGGTGCACATTGAGGCACAGAAGACTGTGGTGCACATTGGGGCACAGGAGACTGTGGTGCACATTGAGGCACAGGAGACTGTGGTGCACATTGAGGCACAGGAGACTGTGGTGCACATTGAGGTACACGAGACTGTGGTGCACATTGAGGCACAGGAGACTGTGGTGCACACTTGAGGTACACGAGACTGTGGTGCACATTGGGCACAGAGACTGTGGTGCACATTGAGGGCACAGAGACTGTGGTGCACATTGAGGCACAGGAGACTGTGGTGCACATTGAGGCACAGGAGACTGTGGTGCACATTGAGGCACAGGAGACTGTGGTGCACATTGAGGCACAGGAGACTGTGGTGCACACTGAGGTACACGAGACTGTGGTGCACATTGAGGCACAGGAGACTGTGGTGCACATTGAGGCACAGAAGACTGTGGTGCACATTGAGGCACAGGAGACTGTGGTGCACATTGAGGCACAGAGACTGTGTGAATTGAGGCACGACGTGGCACATTGAGGCACAGAGACTGTGGTGCACATTGAGCACAGGAGACTGTGGTGCACATTGAGGCACAGGAGACTGTGGTGCACATTGAGGCACAGGAGACTGTGGTGCACATTGAGGCACAGGAGACTGTGGTGCACATTGAGGCACAGGAGACTGTGGTGCACATTGAGGCACAGGAGACTGTGGTGCACATTGAGGCACAGGAGACTGTGGTGCCAAATTGAGGCACAGGAGACTGTGGTGCACATTGAGGCACAGGGACTGTGGTGCACATTGAGGCACAGGAGACTGTGGGCACATTGAGGCACAGGAGATGTGGTGCACATTGAGGCACAGGAGACTGTTGGTGCGCATTGAGGCACAGTAGACTGTGGTGCACACTGAGGCACAGGAGACTGTGGTGCACACTGAGGCACAGGAGACTGTGGTGCACATTGAGGCACAGGAGACTGTGGTGCACATTGAGGCACAGGAGACTGTGGTGCACATTGAGGCACAGGAGACTGTGGTGCACACTGAGGCACAGGAGACTGTGGTGCACACTGAGGCACACGAAACTGTCTCTTTTGCAAGAATTGTTTTTATCGTAAATTTTAAAGTGATTCCTAACCTATATGTTTATGCCTTAACAGATAATTCACTCAAGTATTTCGTGACCAAATGACGCAAGCTTGAAAGCTTGAATTAAAGTTTACTTAATCTGAGAATAAATGTATTGTAGTATACTCGTAATACTTACGTGAATCCTTTCTTATGAAGGTGGCAACCCACCAAGCCAGTACCTGCGGCCACATCCAGAACTCGCACCTGCTGCCTCTTCTTCTCTGGAACCATATTAGCAATTTCTTCTGCTGCAGTACTTGGCCCTCCATAATCCAAAACGGCAGAGTTCTGAATATGTTCAGGAGAAAAAATATGGCGTAGATTATACATATTAATAAATTAGACAGGGGTCATCCCACAAACACTAAATACAACAGACATAGCCCCACTCCACAAATTGGCAGTAAAGCAATTGCAAAGAACTACAGACCGATAGCACTAACATCCCATATAAATATCTTTGAGAGGGTTCTAAGAAGCAAGATTGCCAACAACCTAGATACCTATCAGTTACACAACCCAGGGCAACACGGGTTTAGAGCATGTCGCTCCTGCCTGTCCCAGCTACTGGACCACTATGACAAGGTCCTGGATGCTGTAGAGGAAAAACAAAATACAGATGTAGTGTATACAGACTTTGCAAAAGCTTTCGACAAGTGTGACCATGGTGTAATAGCACACAAAATGTGTGATAAAGGAATAACAGGAAAAGTTGGTAGATGGATCTATACCTTCCTGATAAATAGAACACAAAGAGTAATAGTAAACAGAGTGATGTCCCAGGCAGCTACGGTAAAAAGCTCTGTTCCACAAGGCACAGTACACGCTTCCATTCTGTTCCTCATCCTCATTTCTGTCATAGACAGAGATGTAGCCATAGCTCCGTGTCTTTCTTTGCAGATGACACCCGGATTACCACGGCAGTGACCTCCATCGAAGACACTACGAGACTCCAAGCGGACATCAACCAAATCTTCGAATGGGCCACTCAAAACAATATGAAGTTCAACGAGGAGAAATTTCAAATACTCAGATACGGGAAACTTGAGGAAATTAAAAATGTATCAGGGTATACCACAAATTCTAACCTTTCAATGGAGCGTAAAAGTAATGTGAAGGACCTGGGAGTGATAATGTCAGAGGATCTCGCCTTCAAAGACCACAACAATGTATCTACCTCATCTGCTAGGAAAATGATAGGATGGATAATGAGAACCTTCAAAACTTGGGACGCCAAGCCCATGATGATTCTCTTCAAATCGTTTGTTCTCTCTAGGCTGGAATACTGCTGTACACTAACGACCTCCTTCAAGGCTGGCAACATTGCAGACCTGGAGAGTGTACAATGAACTTTCACGGCACACATAAGTACGATAAGGTACCTAAATTACTGGGAACGGTTGAAGGTCCTTGATCTGTATTCCCTGAAACTTAGGTGAGAGAGATACATTATAATATACACTTGGAAGGTCCTGGAGGGGTTGGAACCAAACCTGCACACGAAAATCACTCCATACGAAAGCAAAAGACCCGGCAGGAGATGCAACATTCCCCCAATGAAAAGCAGGGGCCCCACGAGTACATTGAGAGGCAACACAAGAAATATTCGGGGCCCAAGACTGCTCAGCTGCCTCCCAGCATTCATAAAGGGGATTATCAATAAACCCTTGTCTGTCTTTAAGAAGGCACTTGACAGGCACTTAGTCAGTACCTGACCAACCGGGCTATGGTTCGTACGTTATCTTGCGTGCGGCCAGCAGTAACAGCCTGGTTGATCAGATCCTGATCCATCATGAGGCCTGGTCACAGATCGAGCCGCGGGGGCGTTGACCTCTGAAACCGTCTCTAGGTAAACTCCAGGTATGTGAAACACTTGGGTATCTTTATTGAGGAAACGTTTCGCCACACAGTGGCTTCATCAGTCCATACAAAGGACATTGGTGAAGAACAGAATGAGTTTGAGGTAATCAGTCCCTTAGCCTTGAGTCGATATAATCAGTCCATCAGTCTTGAAACGAATACAACATATGTGCGAAGAAGTGGCTTATATACTGTAGACAGGTGAAGTGAAGCAGTCGTAGTTGGTATCACACTTGACAAGGCAAGCGAAAATTTGTGTTTGCAATAATTTCGCCAAAATCACTCTCAGCCTAACAAAACAAATATACATTTCATTGCGTTTGTTTATTGTTAAATTACTGTAAATATATCTAAAATATATTTAGTTCGATTAAGCAAAATTAAATTGCTCTTGTTACAATAAGGTTAGATAACTTTTTCAAGATCCTTTTGGAATAAAATTTTTAATTTTTACATTAACATAAATGAAAAAAATATCATTAAGCTTATAAGATAATTTTTTTTAGAAAGGACTTAATTTTAAATGAGTTCTTGGTAATTGATCAATATTACCTATTCGGTACGACACACACACACACACTACCAGACACTACCAGAGAGAGAGAGAGAGGGAAGGATGAACCAGCAAGACTGGACCTTGTGTTCACCCTGAGCAGTTCAGACATTGAGGACATCACACATGAGAGGCACCTTGGAGCTAGTGATCACCTGGTTCTGTTTTGAATACATAGCAGAGTTACAAGTAGAGAGGGTAACAGGAGTTGGATGGGAAAATTCAAACTATAAAAGGGGGACTACACAGGTATGAGGAACTTCCTGCAGGAGGTTCAGTGGGACAGTGAATTGGCAGGAAAGTCAGTAAATGAAATGATGGAATACATAACAACAAAATACAAAGTGGCAGAGGAAAGGTTTGTTCCCAAGGGCAATAGAAATAATGGGAAAACCAAAGCGAGTCCTTGGTTTACCCGAAGGTGTAGGGAGGCAAAAACTAAGTGCATCAGAGAATGGAAAAGGTACAGGAGGCACAGGACCCAGAAAAATAGAGAAACTAGTCGAAGAGCCAGAAACGAGTATGCACAGATAAGGAGGGAGACCCAGCGACAGTACGAACACGACATAGCATCGAAAGCCAAGTCTGACCCAAAACTGCTGTATAGCCACATTAGGAGGAAGACAACAGTCAAAGACCAGGTGATCAGGATGAGGAAAGAAGGTGGGGAACTCACCAGAAGCGATCAAGAGGTATGTGAGGAGTTCAACAAGAGATTTAAGGAAGTATTTACAGTGGAGACAGGAAGGCTTCTGGATGGACAGAATAGAAGGGGACGCCAACAACGAATAAACCAGCAAGTGTTGGATGACATACACACAACTGAGGAGGAGGTGAAGAAGCTGCTAAGGGACCTTGATACCTCAAAGGCAGTGGGACCAGACAACATCTTGTGGGTCCTAAGAGAGAGAGCAGAAATGCTGTATGTGCCACTAACCACAATCCTCAACACATCCCTTGAAACTGGACAACTGCCTGAGGTATGGAAGACAGAAAAGAGGTACTAGACTATAGACCAGTGTCACTGACGTGTATAGTATGCAAAGTCTTGGAGAAGATTATCAGGAGAGTGGTGGAGCACCTGGAACAGAACAAGAGTATAAATGCCAACCAGCATGGATTAATGAAAGGCAAATCCTGTGTCACAAACCTACTGGAGTTTTATGATAAAGTAACGGAACTAAGACACGAGAGAGAAGGGTGGGCTGATTACAACTTCTTGGACTGCAAGAAGGCCTTCGACACAGTTCCTCACAGGAGATTGATGCAGAAGCTAGAGGATCAGGCTCATATAACAGGAAGGGTACTGCAATGGATCAAAGAATACCTGACAGGGAGGCAACAACGAGTCATGGTACATGATGAGGTATCACAGTGGGCACCTGTAAAGAGTGGGGTCCCACGGGGGGTCGGTCCTAGGACCAGTGCTATTTCTGGTATATGTGAATGATATGATGGAAGGGTTAGACTCAGAAGTGTCCCTGTTCGCAGATGATGTGAAGTTAATGAGGAGAATTACATCAGATGAGGATCAGGTAGAGCTTCAAAGAGATCTGGAGAGGCTGGACACCTGGTCCAGCAACTGGCTTCTTGAATTTAACCCCGCCAAATGCAAAGTCATGAAGATCGGGGTAAAGCAAAGAAGACCACAGACGGAGTATAGGCTAGGTGGTCAAAGACTGCAAACCTCGCTCAAGGAGAAAGATCTTGGGGTGAGTATAACACCTAGCATGTCTCCGGAAACACACATCAACCAGATAACTGCTGCAGCATGTGGGTGCCTGGCAAACCTGAGAATAGCGTTCCAATACCTTAGTAAGGAATCATTCAAGACAGTGTACACTGTGTACACCAGGCCCATACTGGACTATGTAGCACCTGCTTGGAACACACACTTAATCAAGCACGCCAAGAAATTAGAGAAAGTGCAAAGGCTTGCAACAAGGTTAGTTCCAGAGCTAAGGGAAATGTCATGCGAAGAAAGGTTAAGGGAAATTGGCCTGACAACACTGGAAGAGAGGAGGGTTAGGGGAGACATGATAATGACATACAAAATACTGTGTGGAATAGACAAGGTGGACAAAGACAGGATGTTCCAGAGAGGGGACACAGAAACAAAGGGTCACAATTGGAAGTTGAAGACCCAGATGAGTCAAAGGGATGTTAGGAAGTATTTCTACATTCATAGAGTAGTCAGGAAGTGGAATAGTCAGAGGAAGCAGGAACCATACATAGTTTTAAGACAAGGTATGATGAAGCTCATGGAGCAGGGAGTGGGAGGACCCAGTAGTGGTCAATGAAGAGGTGGGGCCAGGAGCTGAATCTCGACCCCTGCAACCACAATTAGGTGAGTGCACACACACATTCTCTCTCTCTTTCTCTCTCTCTCTCTCTCTCTCTCTCTCTCTCTCTCTCTCTCTCTCTCTCTCTCTCTCTCTCTCTCTCTCTCGTCTATCTATCTATCTATCTATCTATCTCTCTATATATATACATATATATATATATATATATATATATATATATATATATATATATATATATATATATATATATATATATATATATATATATATATATATACTGTGGAAATTATTTAATTTTCTGAAGTTATGGTACCTAATATATGTTTAATGTATTGTTGTTGGTCTGAACTGTATTTGAAAGTGGAAGAGAACCATCAGAGGGGGAGCTTAGTGCATGCACGAGGGGTCGCATGGGCAGGAGGCTGGGCATGGGGGGAGTTGGGGCGTATAAACCTAGGAGAATGTCTGAGTTAACATAGAACCAGGAAATTGGCGGTTCCGATGCTGAAACGTGATTAGTGGTCTCTTTTCATAATAGGAAGTGTTATAACTGTTCCCGTTGTATAATAGGG